CCCCAAAACCCCAAAACCCCAAAACCCCAAAACCCCAAAACCCCAAAACCCCAAAACCCCACATTTTGGCAGGAATATTGAATTGGAATTGAAATAGTCAGTTTTAGAGAACCTTAGAATGAATTAGAAGATCTCTGTGTCCATCATAGTGCCTAAGCATTCTTTAATATTACTGGTCATTGTCTCTTCGATCTTATCTGAGAGGTGATTTTTAGGGTTAAGCTTTCCTACAGTCGAAACAATCAACTCCTCCTTTGGCTTGTGGATCTCATCTTCTACCCATTTATGATAGAGTTCAGCAAGGTTAGACATTTCTTTCAAAGTTTCTTCGTTCTCTTCACTGTGCTCTCAACAATCCTCGTTTTCTAGTCCCTCAGACCATTGGATTTTATTAAGATTAAGAAGCATTTTCTGCTCAAATTCATTTTTCCTGTAATTAATAGCGATTGAGTAGTATTGTCTGTTTAATCCTCTGACTAGGGCATGAATAGAAGGCTTATTTAGGAGTCCAATATTAGCAGTCGTCTGTCTTGGCTCAATACCCATCATTGCAGATTGAGGATTGATCAATCTGAAAGCATCGATGACTACTTTTCCTTTCACAGACTGGATTGGGTCAACAACGACAGCAACACATCTTGGATGGAGCATTTCAAAACTTTGCTGTGTGTTAACATCAGTTCCCGACAACCAGCATCCAAATCCTGGATGGGAGTGATACCATCCTACCACCATCTCATGTCTCCCTGTAAGCTTAAGTAGATCGAGCATCTCCTGTTGGAATACTGGATCAACTGCTTCAACACTGACTCCTGTTCCACTCTGAGGCATTGCAAATACATCGACTACTTTGATGGTATAATCATCAACAAATTCTCCAAGCATAAGTCCCATGACTTCCATTGGAACTCCTGCTCTTCCTACACAAAACATTAGTCAAAATTTCTTCATGATTCAGCTTAAAAGCTTGCTTATCTAGTAAAAGACTTACCGTGCTTGAGCATTTTCAATAATGCGAGTGAGGAGATATGGATCTGCTCTGAGGTATCAGGAATAGGTATATCTGCTCCTCCAGCTGCTTCTGCACCTCCGCCACCGGCTCTTCCTAATAATTCCTGCAAACTTGGTTCCATTGTATTATTTGGTTGATTTCAATAAAATTATTAATAAAAGGGGTTTTGGGGTTTTGGGGTTTTGGGGTTTTGGGGTTTTGGGGTTTTGGGGTTTTGGGG